TTCTCACCTACTCTCATTCTTCTTTTCACTCCTCTCTCCAACAAGAATTTTAACCAGTTTATCTGTGCTAGTAAAAAAATTTCCCTCGTTTTCCCTCTTCATTCTTATTATCATATATGGTATAAAATAGTGAAAAAAGTATTTTAAATCCTGTGTCAACAGTTTTAACTATTTCTAGTGCCGCGTTAGCCACCGTTAGTGTAAAGTGAGCTTCCTTATTAATGACCATTAACATAAGGACCGTGCTTGCCCTATTCACCAAAGTTTAGGGATCTTTCAGAATTCCATTTCAATACAGGGATAAAAATGGACCTTTTCGATAAGTTTAGGAACTTTTAATGACTTTAAGCCTTCAATTAAGCAACAATTTTCGAGATAGTGAGAACCGTACAAGGACCCAAACAAACAACTTTTAAAGTATAAAGATGGAAATGAACAAAATTCTATAGTACGGGAATGTCCATTATTTTTTACCCTTTAAAATAACCACCAAAAGTCTATTCCTTCCTGGTCATTTCTTTTCTTTCTCGATCGGTAAAGAAAAGAAGGTTGTTCCCAAACAACATTCTACAGGAGAGGAATGTCCTTCTTTAGTTTAAATTACCCAGAAATTTCTCTTCGTTCACAATTTTTTTAAAAGAAAAGGAGATAGTTCTTTTCCCACATTTTTTCAACTTATCTATCGATCTTCGCACGAGAGAAGAATAGAAACCCATAACTTAGAGAAATTTTATCTCCAAGGGGTTTCCATCAACAGATTCTTGGGCAATGGAAGGTAATTCAACTTAACATTTTTGTATAATGGTGTTGTCTCTACAGCTGCTATAGACATGTGAATAGGAAAACGATGTGATTGATCAATTTTGGGACAAATTGGTGAGGCCAATAATTTTTTGTGGTAATTGACCATGTGGTGGACCCACATAATCAATAGATGAAAAACTTTGTCTTAAAATTTTGTTATATACTTCTTCCTTCCTAATTGTCTTTCCTTTCTTTCTTTTTTTCATTTTAAATTTGTTTTAAATTAATTATTTTTTATTTTTTAAATAAATAAATATTTTTTTATATTTTAATCCTATTATTATTTATTTATTTTAATTAATTATTCTATCACAAAAAATCATATATTTCTTTTTTGATGATACTATAGGAAAATACATAAATTTTTTACAAATTTTTTATTAAAATTTTTTTTTGAAAAAAAGGAAGTTATTTTAAAATAAGAGGAGTAAATCATTAGTCGAGTGAGTAATGAGTTTTCTTTTAGAAATTCCATTTAGTAAGATATATATTATACTATTGATATACTTATAATATCATATAAAATTATAAATTTATAATTATGAAATATTGTTAAATGAATGAATATGTATAAT